AGGGAATTTGGGGACATGCAAGAGGGGATTGTCATTTACGCGATGGAATTTACACTGTTAGAAAAAAAGTGAAATTCCATGGACAGTTGATTACTAATTCTCAGGACAGTGATACTGAATGCGATTTAGGGGTAACAAATGAGAAAATTTCAGGTTTCATTGAAAATTCAGTAATATTCCAGAATTTTAAGCAGCATAAAGACGAGAATTCCTTAATTTATTTGAATTTCCAATCTAATATGAATATTCAGTGCCAAATTATATTGAATTTTTAGTGAAATTCGAAATTTCATAATTTTTTCCCCCTAAATCGCATTCAGTGTCACTGTCCTGAAAATTCAAGAATATATTTTCCGGAATTTTCTGGTTTTCTATTCATTTCCAGCGGAAAATGGAACTGAAATTTACAGTTCTCTTTGATTTTTCCACGAAATTCTGAATTTTCAATGACGAAATTCCTTGAAATTTCAGTGGTAATCAACTTCGATAAAAATTTCCAAAAAGTGTAGCGGAAATTTTAGATAAAAATTTTTAACAGTACTGTTAGGGTTGAGAACTTGCATTCTTAGAGATTTTATGAATCGAATGGACTAATATCTAGAGACAGCAGTTGAATATTAGATGAATTTTCGAAACCATTAAACCTTTACCCACTATTTTATTACTTGGTATTTCCCCTGGCATTTCCCGCGATATTCGTTTCATTAAATAATTCTTTAGGTTTTAAAAAGTTCTTTCGGATAGAAAAAAAAATTTTCTGGAAAAGTATAGAAATTGAAAAAAAGCTGGGATTTTTCTGAAATTGCTAGAAAACTTGAGTATTAAAAAAAATAATTTCAAATAATCTGATGTATTCCCCAATTTTTCCAGAACATCTGTGAATTCTCTGGGATTTTTTGGAGTTTCCTATGGCGCATCGCGTTCTGTATAGAACTAAATGAAATTCCCAGTTTTCAGTTTGATTCTCCCATCGAATTGTAAATTTTCATTAACAAAATTCCTTGAAATTTACAAACTCCAAAAAGTTCGGCAATTATAAAAAAATTATAACTGCAGTTTGTGCAAGCACAAAATTCCTAAAAATTCTAGTTTTCATCCTCAAGTACACAACTAGATCTCCCCCTCTTAGGGTTTATGGATGAATAATTTGAACTCAAAAGCTGTTTAGTTCCCGCGTGGCTCTTCACCTCATCTTTATCGTCCCTGATTCTCTCGTTTACGGTCCAGATGCCAATGATACTCAAGATCAATTCCTCGTCACGTTTTTATTTTCCCTGTATTTATGTATCTGGCGATTATTATTGAATATCGTGGAAATTGCCCAGGAAGCTATTGAGTCGTATTTAATCCCAGGGCTATTTGTATGCAGTCGTATAAAAGAGCTTGTCCAGAACAGAGGAGAAAACGTGAGGACTGGAATGTTCAAACAGGAGAAGTTGCTAATGGCTCAGGATCTTGATCACTCCGGTGATAAAAATACGTTTTACTATTTTTAATTACGAATAAAGTGTGGAATAGTCGTATTTTTCCGGTAATAATTACACGAATTATCGCCCCCTTCCCCCCTGAAACAACAAAAATCACAATGACCTCTAATGGCTGTACATAAAGTGTCATTTGGAATGACAAAACGTCGAGGGGGAGGGGGGGGGAGAAAGGCGCGGATTAAAGGACGTGATGACGATTAGAGAGCCGATGCACACCCTCATTTAATTCTCAGCCATTGAGGATTACGCGGAGCTGTTGGAGGATGGAGAGGAAAGAGGACAGGATGAAAGGAAAAAAAATTGGAATGAGGGAGAGGAAAGATGCCGGGGCACCTGAGTCCTATCGAAGTGGTTGGCGCAGCCCCAAGCGACTTTGGAGCGACGGACGGATATCCTCTTACAGACACGTGCGGGCCACGTGCCAGTACGTTTCGTCCATGGGTGCTCACCTCTCCTCTCCTTTTTTCCCTTTCATGAGGAATCAGAGCAATTTGAGAACTTCAGGACCTATCCACCTATTAATTAGGGGGATTTTTGGTGAGGGCACGCTAGGGAGGAAATTGCGGGGAGAGATATTTGGGCGAAAAGTTGTGCGAATCCGATGAAATTTCACTATTGCACTGAGAAAAATGTTATTGGTTTACAGCATCACGGTTCGGGATTTCAGTACCTTCGTCGTGGAATCAAGAATCCTGGGTTCCTAAAATAAGAACCGTCGGGGGCATTCAATAGTAGCGCCACGCAATTCAAGAGAAGAGGAGGTTGTGACATTTGTGATGATTCGTGACGGAGCACGGAGGGAATTGCCCAAGTTCTGGTGCGGCATACACCACAATTAATGAAGATGAATTGAGGAAACAAGGATGCACGGAAAATAACATATCCCTGAAATTGAGTACAACATATACTTGAATCAAGTATATTATTCTTGATTCGAGTATAAAGAATACTTGATTCACGTATATTGTATATTTATGTTTCAAGTATATTTTATATTTCATACTCAATTGGGGGATGGGTATTTCGATTCGAATATGATTCTTTTGTATCAGGTCGGGTTGTAGCAAACCCTCTTAAGTGGAATATAAGGGTCAGGCACTAAGTGTCAAAATATAAGGGTCAAAAAGTGGAGGTTAAAAAATGTGGGTCAGAATAGTAGGGTCAAAACATTAGGGTCAGAATATAAAAGTAAAAAAAGTGGGTGTCATGCAATGAGAGTCTAAATATAAGTCATATTACGCTTTATCACCGTTTTTAGCCCTTATATGACCCTCATTGCCTGACACCCACTTTTTTAATTTTTATATTCTAACCCTAATTTTTTGATCCTGATATTCTGACCCTATGTTTTTACCATTAACATTCTGACTCTCATTCCGTCACATTCACATTCAGGCCTTCAGTTTTTAACTCTAATATTTCGACCCTCATTTTTTAACTTCCACGTTTTTGACCCTTATATTCTCACACTTCTGTTTGACTCTTATATTAGACTTGAGAGTGCTTGGTTCAACCCGGGCTGATACGAAATAATCATCCTCGAATTGAAACCCCTATTCAAGTATAAGTATCCCCTATTCTAGTAGAAAATAGGGGAGGTTGGGGTAAAATGGACACTTTTTACTTTTTTTTAAATGCTAATGACGGGCTGAAATTTTGATGAAATTTAATAATTTTTTATCCACTGCAAAGAGCAATTCTTTCCCTTTGTGATGAGCCTAAACTGAGCTGAATTGATAAATTTGTTTCTGAGTTATGAGTAATTAAAACAAAAGTCTAAAGTGTCCATTTTACCCCAGTCTCCCCTATACTTGAATCAAGTATATTTTATACTTGAATGAAGAACAATATACCCGAATCCAGGATATTTTATTCTTAAATCAGGTTTATGCATATACTCAATTCTGCTATAAAATATACTCGATTCAAGTTTTTTTTGCGTGTGTAAATTTAAGTAACTCGAGGATTTCATTTTAAAAACCACACATTGTTAACAAACTTTGTAAAATTACTACACTTTTGCTACATCAGTGTGTAGTAAAATTACAAATTCGGTAGTAGAATTGGTATTTGCTACATTTTTGCATGAATATTGCAGCATGAACAGTGCAGGGTTCCTGATTTCAATACTAGATATCCGTAATCATGGCCGCGAGAGTCTCAAAACCAGGAAAAATGTAGACTATTTGTTGATGCCCACAAGTTATGTGTAGGACACATATTGTCTATGAAATCTGGATATTTTCAGAATTTCATCCATAACTTCTTCATTTCAGCTAAAATTCCGCGATTTATAATATTCCATCGCTGATTTGTCATGGCCTTTTCAGTCCACTGTTCTCAAGATCATTTTTTTCATTCAATTTGATAGAACCTATCAGAACGGTTGGAGTTAACATAACAACATCGACACTCCCGATGAGTCGATGCGATATGTTCATTCTTTGACAGCTCAATCCAGCGTGTAAAGTGATACCTACGCACAGGCTTTGACGAGAAACGATCCGACGGGCCGAGTGGAGGGATGGAGTCATAAAAAAAGTGGAGAAAAAAAATGTTAGAGGCATGTACCTCGTCATGGACACCACGTGGCCCTTTTATTGTGGGAAAACTCGTGTTCCAGTAGCCCGAAAATAAGAAATATTGGATGAAAAAATGACGAAAGAAACGAGAAAATTAATTGACAAGTATCGAGTAGCGAGGTGGTTTATTACGCGGGAAAACACTTTTGCGTCGTTCAATCTCCATAAAAATGTGATAAACAATGAACTGGAACTAGGGACACCCTCGCTCTTTTTTTAGCTAAAGTCGCGTGTCGTGTTACGTATGCCACGGGTTCATCCATCATGCGTTGGTTATACTCATGGGGAACGTGCCCTGCGGCTAGTTAGAGCAACTTGTGATTGATAAAATGTCAAATTAGCTCCCGGGATTTTTCTAACACCGAGAATTAATCCGGTTTATCAACCTCCCATTTCCGTTTGGAGGGGTGCATTTAAAATCCATTTAGGGAGATGTGATTAGCAACAGGGAAATTGAAAAAAATTGTTATTAATTGGAAAACCACTGTGGAGGAGAAAAAATTCAATGAAGAATGCCGTTTTTAAACTTTTTCATATTTTACTTTCTTATTTGTAATTAAATTGTTTCATTTTGAACCGTTTGGAAATATTTTCAAAATTTGAAGGAAGTAATTGATTATAAACGCTTAATTTTTTACACAGAAATCATTTTTTCTCAAAATCATAACAAGCTTTTCTAAACTGAGAATTTTACCAAAAATCAATATCTTGCCAAGAGAAATTGAACACTTACAGCTTCTTTTCAAGTCATCTAGCGAAAAAAACGGTCTCAGATTGAGAAAAAACTGGCAATTTGTTTTCGTTTTCACACTGGAAGGGTTATTTTCGAACCAGAGCGAGCCAAAGTACCTCATTAAACCCCCATAACGAGAATTTAGGTGGAAAACCGAAAGATCAGCTTTAGGTAATGTGCGTGAAATCAACCGGTTACCTTGCCACACTCCTCGCCACCAGAGTCCCTTTGTTAAAGCCTTGAAGTCTTCGTCTCTCGTGTCCTCCGAGGTTATCCCATCGGCTTTGGCTGCTGCCCCGACACCTGCGTACGGCATCCCAGGTGTCAGCCCAAATCTTACCTCGAGTACTTTCCACGTAAAAGTGGACCCGGTCATCCCAGTTTCGTCCTGCATAATCTCTATCAATAGAAAAAGTGAAGAATATTAGGAAACAACAACTTCAAGCGTTTCTTCTCCTCAATTTTTAATGAACATTTTGAATTTTATTGTTTTGAAACATCGTTGAGATGCTCCATATTAATGGCCCAAATGTTCATCAACAGTTGCGAAAATATCATTTTATTTTTATTTTTTCATTTTTTTTAATCTTTATTTTTTTTTTTTACTTAAATTTTAGATCCGCATGGAAATTTTTAGTAGGAGTTTGTCAATTTTCGAAATAAAGCACAAGAAAAATTCTAGGACTGGAATTAGAAAATTTGTGTCTGTCCATTATACACTGTTAGAAAAAAATGAAATTTCATACGAATAATAATTTTCAGGACAGTGACATTGAATGCGATTTAGGGAAAAAGAAATCATGAAATTTCAGGTTTCACTGAAAATGAAGTAAAATTGAATTTTCAATCTCTCTTCCCATTTGAATTTCATATTGATTTAAATGGAACTAATTTGTGAGAGCACTTTCTTGCCATAAATAAATTATCCTCATCTTTGGGACTAACTTGACCAGTGGTCATGAAAAATATTATCCCAAAAAATCGCGTAAAATTTCAAATTTCAAATGAAAAAGCTTGAAATTTTTAACAACCGCGAAGTTACATTAAATTTCTGAATATTTCTTCACTGATGAATCAGTTAATTTCTTGAATATTCAAGTAATTCTCGATTGCCAGATCCATGCGGCACTGAAAAATGTTGGAAATGAGGAAAATTCGGGCAAAAACTTTTGAATTCTCAATCTATTAAAAATTCAATTGCATTTGATGTTCAATCTTCACAATGATTTCGAAAATTCAAGCTTTCATTGAAATATCAATGATCGCTGAACATGAAAAACTCAATTTTCTGGAATTTTCAAGATAAATGAGAAATTTTATGAACATTTTCATTTCAAATCAAATTCAAACTCACAACATTGAGATTTCAGGTCACGCTATGAATAAAATTTCCGTGCCCAATCCTAGAAACTTTTATCGTGTTTAATTTCCACTGAAATTTCAGAAAATATTGACATTGAAAAATCAAATATTCCATTAATTTTCGGTTCAAATGATTTAAAAATCAATAAAATACTCGATTTTTCAGTTAAATTATTCTATGAAAATTTAAAAAAATCAGCGAAAAATTGAAAATTCATATAATTCTGTTTCGGAATATTCATGTTTCATTGAAAAATCAATGGAGTTGTGAAATTTCCATCTCACTCCCACTGAAAACATGAATTTTTTTGAATTCTATCTAAAACGTGAAATTTCATAAACATTTTCCCCCTAAATCCGATTCAATGTCACTCACATGATAATTACTATCATATTTTCCATGAAATTTCGAAAAAAATTTCTAACAGTGTGTCCTGTAGTTTCATCTTATTTTTCAAGCCTGAGGGAGCTTAATGGTAGTCTTTTGGTTTTGCTAAAGGGTCTAGCTGACACGTGCAACGGCCTATTACGCACTGGTGGTCCCATGTGGGCATATTTCACTGTCGTTAAATTCGCTGTTATATTTTACGATCTTTTTTCGTCTAGTCGTTGAAAAAAGATTCATTGTGGATGAATGGTGTCTGTCCGGGTGAAGAGAACCGAGGAGAAAAGTCGGTGTGGGGACCCTCTTCCCTGGTCGTGTCCTTACTACGGGTGCACCCCCGAGGATCAGATAAGCAAGCTAAGATCCTCTTGTTGTCCTCTTCTTACTTTCTCCTTAGCAAAGTCATCGCGATAGTTCCGCGGGGGAAAAGTGAAATGTCAAAGATGAATAAATATCGTAGGGGATCACAGTCACAACTGATCTCAAACTGCTGATAAATTGGGGAAAAGAGGGAGAAGAAAAAAAATTGTCTTTCTGCTCAGTTGAGCTGTTGGGATCTTGATTGATGAATTGAGTCCTCCTATCTTCGAGTTATGATGAGGAGCGATGATTAAGAAGTGACGCTTTGGGACGCATTCGCTTATGGGAAGGGTTTTGGGTGGATGGTACGACTAAGATTGATAGAACAGTGCTGAGTCCATTTGTGAAAATGCTTCTGGGTAACGTTTAAGGATTATTATTAATGAAACGGGTATCGCATGCTCACGCCCACTGTGACCTCTAGTGAAAACTGAGGTCTCGATTTGAATAAAACGAAAGGCTGTGGAGAGTAAAATCACTGGCATTAGAGAGGCTGCAACAATTTATGGAATAGTCTCAACATTAATTTTTTTTTAATGTTCAACGAAATTTATTGCAAGAAAAATACATAAAAAATAATTTTCTTACAGTAGTCCATCGCCTGAGGGCCTTCAGCCGAATCTGAATATTATTATCGAGAAGAGTTTCATCGTTTCAATCGTTTCTTTCAAATTCTCTACTGAGTCATTTATATTGAGAACATTTCCGGTAATCGATTGCACGAGGAAAATTGATGTATCCGGAAGTCTAAACAATTCCTCGGATTTATTTATAAGGATATTCTTCCAGAAATTTAAACTTGCAGTCAGGTTGCTGTAGTATTCCTTTGCGAGTTGCAACATTGAGTCAAGTTTTCAAGAACGAGCTGCAGCATACACGGAGAGAAATATTCCATAAAAATTACCAGAAAAAAGACGTAAAAATTACGTTTCGAAACGTAATCTGGGAGGGAAGGAAAATTCAATAAAAAGTGTCAATCGTCACGTAAATTCTACGATCTGTTCCGTAAAAATTACTCATCCGTCCGACGCCTCACGGCTAGCCATGAGTGACCGTGAGGCTCCCATTTTAACAACACGTTCCGTAATTTTTCCGGAACTTTTCGTAAAAATTCTTAAACATCTAAGAATTTTCATGTTCTGAGGCATAATAAGACTTGAAGTTTCTGTTAGATTTTACAACTTCCAGAAAAATTACGTGACTTTTTCGTATTTTTTCGGTGACAGACCCGAAAATTTACTGAACGTTTCAGATTTATTCTCTTATATTCCTATAGAAATTCACTGAAAACGATTCTCGCTTGCGGATTACGTGAAATGTTCCGTAATTTTTCGTGAATATTTCTCTCCGTGTACTGGAACGGAGACGCTTGAAAACATTGTCACCGGATTGTGCAGCACTTCACTAATATCGGCTCAAATCAGGTTTTCAAAATATATTCCTTTTTTTATGGAAATTATTGCATTTATAGATTATTAACAGTTTTATGTGTCAATTAAATTTAACCTGCGGCAGGCGGAGACTGTCAAATTTTTGCTAGGTTCCAAATGCAAGGTACAAACGAGGTGGTGGCCACTACACCAAGAGAAAAATCGACATATCACAAAAATCATTTCTTGAGCGAAAAACATCGCATGCATATTTGATCAATTTATTGTAGTTTTCAGACAGGAAATCGGTGCCCTTCCGGCTAAGGAGGAAGTTACTAGATGAAAAGATAATGTCTTTTTTCAAAATAAGATAATATTCCTTCAAAGACACGAATAGTTTGACAGAAGGAAAAAAAGATACTACTTCCCTTCGAACTCAACGCGATTGAGCAGATCCGACGGTTATATTTTTTTAATATCTGGAGGATATTAAAAAAATATAACCGTATTAAAAATATAACCATGTATTTCTCTGCATAAACTCTCCCTTCATTCAACATGAAAGTTTCTGATTCATGATTCACTAAATCCAAGCTTTTAATATTCTTAGTCATTTTCCCATCTTCTGACACGAAAAAACCGATTTGTTGTGGCAAGAAATTCTCACTTTATCACACTGAGAGAAAAATATGATTCTTCTGACTATATTCCATCACCATCAAATTATAGTCAAAAAGTCCTCAACAATTTTTCATAGGTTACGGTAACTATGGCCGGAGAAGTAATTACTACAATGGAATATAGTGATTGCAACCGTCACGATAGATTTGGCGTGGTTACATTTGAACTTTGGTTAGTGTAACTGCATTTTTATTTGCAAAAATTACGCTTGTGAAGTTACTATAATGTTATGTGCCGCATACAAAAAAAAATCGTATCGTTCACCAAAACTGCCTCAACTATTTTCTTATTGTAAATCGAACTTCAGGTATTTCTCTCAGTGCATGTAGTTGAATAATTTTTATTCAAGATGTATTTAATAAGTGATTTAATGCAATAATATTGAGAGGAAAAGTAAAGGAGGGGAGGCAGGCTAGAGGAGGGGTGGAAACTTTCAATTGAAAGCCCGAGTTGTAGACCCGAGTTTGTAGCAGCGATGTCAGACAAGATATGAATGTTTTTTTGGGCTCAAATGAAAGAGCGGGTCGAGAAATGGCGTGCTAGGGCCTCTAAAGATGGTTTTGAACCAGGGGAGACTCCTAGAACCCACTGGACAATGTTGTCACAATTGCGCTTTTCAATTGAAAACAGACATCATCTTTAGAGACATTTGTCATCTTTAAAGACTTCTGCACGCCATTTTTCGAGCCGCTCTTTCATTTGAGCCAAAAAAAACATTCATATCTTATCTGACATCTCTGTTACAAACTCTGGTCATCAACTCTGGTTTTCAGTTGAAATTGGAATTGTTAATTTACACAATAATAGGATTGCATTGACGATTTTTTCTTGACTCGCAAAAATCTTCAAACAATTTTCTATCGATTGGTGAAAAATTTTTTTGGAAATAATGAAATAGAGGGGATAACGCCTTTTTTTTCAGAGGTGATTTTTCAAAAATTTATTTTAAAAAAAGTACTAACTAGCAAATGTTTTTTATTAGCTCGCAATTTTCTTCAAAACTACTTCAATGAGGAAAAAAATAAAAATTTGGAATATCTATACATGAGGGGCTAATTGATCGGATCTGTTCACCCGGCTAAAAAATTCG